GGGAAAATCTCCCATAAGAAATTATGTGAGCAGGATCCAGAAAGCAGAGCGTGACGGCAAGGACTGAGGATCTGTGCTTATTCGGGCTCTCCGATGCAGCCTGCAGCCCCTATTGCATTCCCTATTCCATTTTTATTTTCCATGGAAGTATTTTCAGAATGTCTCCAACCACTTTGGACTGTGGTTTGGCCACATTTGCCTGAAACAGAGCCTGGCACATCATAGGTGCCTTATAGATGTTTGTTAGACGATGATGGGAGGATAGGTGGTTGGGTGGATGGACAGACGGACGGAGGGACAAGCTGTGCTCCCCCTCAACCTCCCACCCCCAAGGTGACGGTGGACTCACAGCCCGTGTGGCCCCCCGTGAGCAGGTATGGGTTCCGAATTGAGGACACAGGCCACATGTACGTGGTCCGGACACCCGCACACATCCAGATACAGTGGCTCCACAGCTCGGGGCTCATGATCCTGGAGGCCAGCAAAGCCAGCGAGGCCCAGGGCCGGGGCCTGTGCGGTAAGGTGGGGCCCAGCCTGGGGGCGAGGGTGGCTTCCAGGTTCACCTCTGCCCCCGGTCACAGTTTCCAGGAAAGTCTGGGGCTCAGTTCCAGGCCAGAGGTGGGGCCGACGGAGCTAATGGCAGGGAGGCCTAATGTCCTGTGCTCTAGGGGATGGGGCAGGGCTCTGGCCCCCACCAGCTGTCAGCCAGGATTGTCTGTCAGCTTCCCTGACAGCCTCCTAATGCCCGATAATCTTTCCTGTCGGTGTTGGCCTGGGCACTTCACAAAGCACTTCCCTGCCCTGTCTCTTAGCCCAGGTCATCCGCACGACAGCCCTGAAGGTGGCCATCTGTATCCCCATTGAGCTAAGGAAGAAAGGGAGCTCTGAGAGGTTAATCAGCTTGCCCAAGGTCAACCGCAGAGCTGTCACCACACACAGAACTAGGGCTCGGTCACGGGGTGACTGCAGAGAGCCTGCGTGAAGGGACTGGGTATATTTTAAGAAGAAAAAGGACTACAGGAGGAGTCCGGGTAGGGACTGCTTCTCGTGCAGGGGAGTAGCCAGAGGGCAGTCCATGACAGACTGCCATGACGGTGAAGATGGCGACAGAGGAACACACGCACTTGCACATGCATGCCCTCCAGCCTCCGCCAGTACCCATGGTGTTTACTCACGCTCATGTCCCGGCGTGCACAGCGCCCTCTACACATGCACTAACACGTGTGAGTCAGACACACTCATTCTTTCCAGCACACAACACATAAGTGCTGTGTACCAGTCACCTGGGGTGATGGGGCGTCCTCTCTTCACTGATATGACACCCCTCCTCATACACACGCACGCTCACACACACTCGTGCCACCACTACCTTGTCTCGCCATCTCTTCCTTCAGCCCTGTCCGTCCTGTGGTCAGCGGTAGCCCAGTGGGCCAGCTCCTCCCTAGGACCCCTTTGGGACTCTCCGCAGTGACAGAGCCAAGACCTAAAATGTGCCCATTGGGATCATTAACAAATCGAGTCTTGCTTTATATGCGCAGAATGGCGGCTAGAGATGTCAGAGCAGGAGGCAGATCGTTTATTCCTCTGTTGTATTTGAGCTGACCCCTGATACCCTGGGCACCCTGCTAGGCAGCAGAGGGGAGGCTGAAATAAAGGAGAATCTGAGGGGAAAATGAGCCTTGGCACGTAGCTGAAATCTCTTGTGAAAGACAGACCTGCAAACTGGGCACTGTGACGGAATTGGGGAGGTCACAGGTGGTAGGTCTCAGGTGCCCTTGAAGGAAAACCGTCTGAGAGCTCCCTTCCGGCAGGGAAGCAGCAGGAGCAGTGTGGCCAGGGAAGTGGGTCTGGAGGCTAGAGGACACCGTGCGTGAGGGGCGAGGCTGAAAGTTCAGGTCATGCCAGACGCCATGGCACCTCGGTGCCTTGACCGCACAGACGTTTCTTTCTTTCTCCTCTCTAAAGTGTTGTCCTTCATTCGTGGTACGACATGTGTGCACATTCACACCTGAGAGCGAGGCAGCGGGTGGAGCACCCGCCACAGGGTCTGGCTGTGCCATGACCCGCTTCCTCCGGTCCTCTGGCCTCCTGTGCCCACGCCCTGCGTGCTTCAGGGTGACCCAGCTGGGAGTCAAACCATGGTCCCCATGTGGAATCCAGCTTCTCTTGAGAAGCTCATTGCCACTGTGCCACGGAGCCTGTCCAAGAAGCTTATTCCTTGGACACGTAAATTCCAAACTGGACAGCGATGATCCAGAGACCCTAGTGCTGTCCACCCTGTGGCTCTGCCATTTTCAACATGAGCTTGCAACTCCTTGAAGGAAAGACACAAGGGAAGTTTTTGTTTTTGTTTTTGTTGTTGTTTTTAGAGAGAGATTTGTGTTTGAGACATCGTATGTTTAGTTTCTAAATATTTGGAGGCGTACCTTTCCTAAGACAGATGCCGTCTTACACAGCAGGCTTCCTCCTGCTCGTGCCTCGCGCTCTCGTCTGTGAAATGGGGCTAATGGTGGTACTGTCTGCAAAGAGCCACACACAGCTAGGCCGAGGTTGCTGTGACAGCAGGGATAACCTTACCCCTCGCAGGTGTCTGTGACGGAGACGCGGCCAATGACCTCACCCTGAAGGATGGCTCTGTGGTGGGTGGGGCCGAGGACCCTGCTCCCTTTCTGGACAGCTGGCAGGTGCCCAGCTCCCTGACCTCGGTGGGCCAGACTCGCTTCCGCCCAGACAGCTGCGCCACGGCCGACTGCTCTCCCTGCCTTCGCATGGTGTCCAACCGCACCTTCAGTGCCTGCCACCGCTTCGTATGTGCCAACTGACTCTGGCATGCCGGGTTGGGGGTGGCCTCCCGGGCTGGGAAGGGCAGGGCCTACCTGCAGAGGCTCGTTGCTTCCCCTGGTAGGGCTGGGAGGAGCCGAGCGCGCAGGTAAGCAGCCCTGCTCCATGCACGTGCCCAGGTCCCCCCGGAGTCGTTCTGTGAGCTGTGGATCCGGGACACCAAGTACGTGCAGCAGCCCTGCGTGGCACTGACCGTGTACGTGGCCATGTGCCACAAGTTCCACGTGTGCGTCGAGTGGCGGCGCTCCGACTACTGCCGTGAGTTGGGGAGCACAGGGTCCCCCAATTAAGACTGTTGTGCCCAGTCCCCATTAGAGTGCAAAAAGGCTCCCAGACCCAAGTGAAGTCTATGCCGTCCCAGGTTTAATCATGCATTCATTCCTTCACTCCTGAATTAATAAATATATGGAAATTAATATTTACTTTTATGCTTACATAGTTTATTAATTGAGTTTTTATTATAATTTATATCAAATTCATAAGCAATAATCCATTTTCTTTGTTACTTCATCTCTGAAAAATGGGACAGTAAGAGGAGCTCCCTCCCGGGGTGGTTGTGAAGGTAACGGGGAATGGTGTGGGGGTGCCTCACACACGCACAGTATTTGGTTACTGTCCAGAAAACAGTTCCCTTTGCTTAATTTTTGCTTATCTTTCTCATTTTCAAGTGTCTTCCCTAAGGATGGGAATGACATCCGCCTCTCCTTTAGCCATTAGGTTTGGGGTTGGCAGGGCTGGCTTGGGCTCGATTAGTTTAACTTTTAGATGTGGACCTGTCCAGAAAGTCTGGCGATGACTCACAGGAAGACCGCGTCCAGAGTGACGGGTAAATGCAGAAAGATGGAAACCGTCTAGAGCAGTGTTTTTCAAACTGTGGGTCCAGACTCGGGTGGCAGGCCATCAACGTGCAATAGAGCAGAGTGGAAAATGCTGATGGCTGAGACCAGCAGTTGGCGTAATGGCTATGTCGCTGGACTCCCATGTAGTTGACTACGGTTCAAGTCCTGGACCTGGTGGCTTAAAATCACACCGGGCGTGCGTGCCCAAGATCCTAAGAGGAGAACAGAGAGAAGGGATTGCGGCGTGGCCATCCCCCCTGGGGGGTGATTTCTTGCTTTCTGTCTCTCTGTCTCTCTCTGTCTTTTTGGCGAGTGCACGTGCCCTATAGTATAAACTTCTCCAAAACCAAAAATCAAAACCAAAACAATGCTGATGGCTGTTGCACACATTATTAAGTATTGCATATTACTTATGAAAAGTATCTTCTGCTTCAATCAGTGATGTCAAACCCATATCAGTGATTTCAGTCCCAGTTACCCCTTGAAATCACCCTGAGAACTTCAAAGAGCACTAATGCTTGGGCCTCACAATCAGGGATTCAGCTGGCCTGGGGTGGGGTCCCAGCAATGGGGTCAGAGAAGCTCCTGGAGAGTCTTCCGTAATCAGGTTTAGCATTCCT